ATTCTCTAAAGAATCTTGCTTTATTACACACATACAAAATATATCTTTTTCTTGAGATTCTTGTCTAATTTTCCCCCTCGATCCAAGAAGAATCCGAATATTTAAAGGTTCATCAATCATTCATCATTTTCAGAAAGAATACTAAAGAATCTCACCCTTTTCGGGTGATTCACATGTTTTTATTTACTTAAATGTCATTCATTGCTATTTATTGTTATTTAATGCTACCTCTTTCATTTTTTGGATTATTGAATATAACAGTAGTGTTACCATTTATTGCTATGTAGATTATACCCGTACTATCTTCCCCCTAAAACGATTAATACATCTTTTGGATATTAATATTAGCTAAGATTAACTCTATTCTATTAGAAATCTAATTGTTTAAACCTATATCTAAACTTTGGGTCAAACAAACCAAACTAGAAAACATCCAACTATTCTTCTTCTTTTCACAAAACATGACATTATAGTGCCAATCGTGACTTTAAGATATTTGTTTTCTTTTTATTCGTGTGTGATAATACTGAGTATGTTATTGTTTTCTTTTTATTCTTTTTATTACACAATGTGCTACTGACATGTGAAATTGATGTTTATTTGAACGATTTTGCGATATCCAGTAGCACACCAACGCAAACATTTGAGAATCAGGTGAAATTGAAAAAGAACAATTCTAATTCAATGAAAATCTCACCTTCAAACAAACTTATAACTAAAAATTGATTAATCTTACATTCTAATGTATTATATATATTTATTATTTTGCAATGCTCCAAGTATTTGACACATTTTTGTCAAATTAGAAAAATTCACAATTAACTTCATTTAACTATTTAAATCTAAGTTGTTACTATATGAATTTAGCATGCTGTTCATTGATGCAAAAGCAAAGAACTTTAAATACAATAGGAATGGGGACTTATTTGGGGAATGTAGCTAGCAGTGTGTTAAGAAAAATTCAAAAATGTGAAACATTCACGGGCCCTTGAATAAACAAAATGACTAAAATTAGCAGAAGTTTCAGAGCGACGGACGAATGACTATACCCAAACAATTTCCAAATTTTCTTCAAAACTCTACCTTTCACGTGACGACTGACCCTTGTTTTAAGCCAGCTGCCACGCAACAAAGTACCACTTCTCCTTCACCCCCTACTACCCCCTTCTCCTCCCCCTCTCGGAAACCGATAGCTCACTGTCTCCCAAAATTCAGTCCATTTTTCAGACATCGTTTCTTACATTAAACCAAACAACATGACAAACAAACACTAACTTGACCTATAGTCACTAAACCAAGCACTGGATTTTGTTTGTTGAAAACTTGCAATGTCCCCATTGATGCTTGTTCTCTGTTTTCTTCAACTATTTTCCAGTTTCTACTTTTGTTCTTCTTCAACTACTACACCATCTGCACCATTAAACTCTTTACTTCCCTCCGACGCTGTTTCTTTATTATCCTTTAAATCCAAAGCTGACCTTGACAACAAGCTTCTTTACACACTTAACGAGCGTTTTGACTATTGTCAATGGCAAGGAGTGAAATGCGTGCAAGGTCGTGTTGTACGTTTTGTTCTTCAAAGTTTTAGTCTTAGAGGTACTTTCCGGTCCAACACTTTAACTCATCTTGACCAACTCCGAATCCTTAATCTTAGGAACAACTCACTCTCTGGTCCTATCCCTGACCTTTCTGGTCTTACAAACCTTAAAACTCTGTTTCTTGATCATAACTTTTTCTCTGGAACTTTTCCTCTTCCTCTTCTTTCTCTTCACCGCCTCATTATCCTCGATTTGTCCCATAATAATCTCTCCGGTTCACTCCCTGTTGAGCTTACTGTTCTAGACCGGTTGAACTATCTCCGGCTTGATTCTAACTGGTTCAGCGGTTCGATTCCGCCATTGAACCAAACCCAACTTCAAATCTTCAATGTGTCTAGAAATAACCTCACTGGTTCAATACCTGTTACTCCGACTTTGAAGAAATTTAACGAACGCTCGTTCTTATGGAACCCTAATCTTTGTGGTAAAGTTATTAACACCCCTTGCCCGTCAACTCCATTCTTTGATTCGCCTTCTGCTGCTGCCTCCCCGCGGCCCTCACCGCTATACCAAGATGCACAGTCACAGGGTCTACTTCTTACTCCTTCACCTCAGCATAAGCACAAAAAAGTTGGTGTTGTTTTGGGCTTTGTGGTCGGAACATTGATTTTAATTGCAGCTGTTCTATGTCTTTTTGCTTTGGTAAAAAAGAGAAGAGAAGAAAGTGAAACTGAACCAAAAGCAACAAAATGCACCATTGAGACCATTACGAACAATGCAGTGAACGCAACTACTTCTGGGCCAGCTGATAATAGCCAATTATTAGAGATTAAATTAGAAAAGGAAGTGAAAGTGGCTCAAGTCTCTCAACAGCAATTAAAGAGTGGACATCTGATATTTTGTTCAGGGGAAACAGAGTTGTATACTTTAGAGCAACTAATGAGAGCATCAGCAGAGCTGCTCGGGAGGGGCACAATTGGAACAACGTATAAAGCTGTAATGGCTAGTCAATTAATTGTTTCAGTAAAGCGATTGGATGCTTGTAAAACTTCAATTACCAGTGGAGAAGCGTTTGAGCTGCACATGGAGGAAGTAGGAATGTTACGGCACCCAAATTTGGTAGCAGTTAGAGCATACTTTCAGGCTAAACACGAAAGGCTTGTTATCTATGATTATCAGCCTAATGGCAGTCTCTTCAATCTCATTCATGGTAAAAGTTTCTAACTTTGCTGATTACTCATTTAAAATGGTTTTATTTTTCATTTCTTTTTGTGTGGTCATTTTGTTAATTGGTCTATGGAATCAATTTGGTGGACCTGTGGAAGGAGGAAGCAGTGGAAGAGTGAGTTGGCTGCACCAAACAACTAGCAGTTTTCTCTTTTGTGGACAGAAGTGGGCTGTAGTCTCTTTTTAGCTTTTAGTTTGGATGCTTAATATGGGATCCCACTGAGCTCACTACCGACAATTGCAATGTTTGCTTTCACAGGGCAGTCAAATAGTAGTGTGTTTTGGTTTCAGGCTGTCACTGACTGATCCGTATGGGTTGATTGCACTATTTCCCCCAACTACCTTTCATTTTTTTATGAAGGCAAATGGTCCTTGTGTCTTTCTTTTGGCATTTATGTGTTTGCTCTGTCCCTCCTTTCTGTTGAATTGGCTATTTTCCTTAGTTTTGTTTTCCCTAGATACCTATTACTTTCCACTAGTACATGTACCAATTTTCCTTCACTTTTGGTCGTTAGCCACACCCTTGGGTTAATGTGCTGACATTCTTAAATATTCAACTTACCTATGTGAGAACCGTTGTTAGATGAAAGGTTGTTAATTTAGAGAAGAAAAAGTTCAATGATACTATTCTAGAGGAGCCCTGTTCCTTCGTGTGCATTGGATAAAATTAGAAAGATACATAGGAACACTCTATATCGCTCTTCCATGTTCGGTGTTATCAATGGATTGACAATTCACTTTCATAGATTAAGTGACACATACCATTTGTTCATTATACACGTTCAAGAGTTGAATATATGAATTCTTTATGTAATTCGTGTGTTTATATTGATGCTTCCTTCGCCTAAATACTAAGATTATGTTGTATCTTACATATTGTGTCCTATTTTCTGTTTTTACGTGGCAGGGTCAAGATCGACAAGGGCAAAGCCCCTTCACTGGACATCGTGTCTAAAAATAGCAGAAGATGTGGCTCAGGGCCTTGCTTACATACATCAAGCATCAAAGCTCACTCATGGCAACTTGAAGACCTCAAATGTGCTTCTAGGGTCTGATTTCGAGGCCTGTCTAACAGACTACTCCCTCATTGCGCTTGCAGACATTTCTTCCGATGATGATCCTGATGCAGCACGCTATAAAGCACCAGAAGTTTGCAAATCTGCACGAAAAGCCACTCCAGGGTCTGACGTCTATGCCTATGGCATTCTGTTATTAGAGCTTTTAACGGGTAAACCGCCATCTCAGCATCCATTTCTCTCTCCCCCGGATATGGCGGATTGGGTTAGAGCTATGAGGGAGGATGATAACGAGGAGAATAGATGGCTCGCAATGCTAGTTGACCTTGCTAGTATATGTAGCTTGACATCACCAGAACAGAGACCAACAATGAGGCAAATCTTGAAAATGATACAAGATATAAAGGATAATGCAATGGTGGAGAATAACAAAAGGGATGAACATACTGGATATTCATAGCTTCTTCTGAATTGCAGTTATACCATTAACCAGCGAGGGTGCATGGTCAATTGTAAGTGTTACACCTGAAACCAATTTGGATAATGCAATAATTAATCTGTGTCTCCTCCTTTGGCAAAGTGCCATTAATTGGCAACAGATTTGCTATTGACTTTTGCCCAGATTGACCAAATGACTCGTCAGCTGTTAATGGTGCTTATACCTTACTACTCAGTAAACAACCTAAAACTGATAGGTTAAGGTCGATCTGCTAGAACATAAGACAACTTAGTCATTGATGATTATGGCACACATTTTGTACCCCTCCTGAAATCCTTCTTTTTTTGTCACAAACATATGGATGCCAATATTTTCAGGGAGAATTGTTTACATCTGCTAAGTCTATATATTAGTAGGCGGTTTTGGTTGGTTCTTTTTCTAAGGAACTTTAAAATGCATTTGCTTTACCTTAATGGCAGAAGGATGTTGTATGATCTTAATACTTGGTCATATTTAACTTACTGAATTAGATATCAAAATTTAAATTGTTAAATGGATTTGAAATCTTGAAATTTGTGAATGTTGATTAGAATAATGTTGGTGATAGAATTTTACAAAATAATTTTGGGTGTTTTTGAACGGAACCAGAAGTGATCCTTGATACAGACGAACAAAGTCATAATGTCCCAAAGGAATCAAGATGTACCAAAGTTTTGCCAGTGAAAAATCTTCCCTTTTGATAGTTATTTGGCACTGTCAGACGAACAATAACAAAAGAAGAAAACAGAAATAGCAGAGCAGATTTTGGATCCAAAACAACAGTACACAACCCCATGTTCCCTGGAGCAAGATTTTCCGTAAAATTGCAGACAGAAACTCTGCTTTTTGCAAAAGAAAATAACTTTCAACAGATTTCCACCATAAAATTAGTAATAACAATTTGCAGCTGTGCTTGTTCTACACATATACTCTGAGAACTATGAAAGGCAATAATATTAGATATAAAATCCTATTTACTTCTCCACTTAAACAAATACCCATCAGCATCAGTAGCTGGCAGATTTGTTGTCCGCTATTGCCAGGGGATGACAGCAAACTTTGACGTGCATTAGAGCCAGCACAAGATTAGACAAAACATTCTTTAAACAAGAGGTGGATACTGCTTAGACTGCAGTCGCACCCTCTTTCGGTACTCCAGAGCATCCTGCAGGAACTCAGCAATATGAGCGTGCATCAAACAGAGAGTATCGAACTCCTATTCTGAAGTAATACATCTTTCAAAAATTTCAAGCATGATCAACAAAAAGACACAATATAGACCTGCAAATTACTAGTATAACATCGTATCGACGCACATTGTCTGTCCCGCTAATGACATAACTAACAAATGTTTCCATAAAATCTGATATAATTCATGTAAGAGAAAAAGAAACCAGAAAAGATTCTTGAGCTCCCAAAGAGTGACGTCCATGAAACCTAATACCTATCACTAATGCATTTAGCCTACAGCAAAAGTCACCGGTGCCCTTCTACCGTCGCGCAGGAACATTATTGGACATAAAAGCTAAAGCACACTCTAAGGGATTGTTTGGTTTGAAGACAAGTTATGCTGGAATTAGTTATTCTGGTATTATTTCTTATTGATGGTTTGTTATGTATCAATCCTTGGATTGTCAATTTTATTGCTTTATCTTGGGTATTATTTCACCCTCTGGCAGGTATAAATTATCCCTGTACTATTTTTAATCCTGTGAGAACTTATCCCAGAATTAGTAACCAAACAAATGATGAGGCGGTACTAAATTATTATCTCAGGATTATTTTTGCTTATCCATAGTACCAAACGACCCCTAATAGTGCAAGAGATATGACAGTTAGCACTTCCTTCATAACATTTGTTATGGTTATTAAGGTAAAGGCCAAAAGTCATCCTATACTAGTAAGGGGGGATCGAATTAAAAGTTAAGATTCACAGTGTTATAAATTTATAACAAATTGGGATGCATAGTCAGCAAAAATCAACTTTTTGATAAAATTTGGAATTGAACGGTAATTCCGCTTTCATCCCATTATATGTGACATGATTTAATTGAAATACAAAGTTCAAGATGCTTATTTGAATTTTGTAATATACCAGCAAAGGTGAAAAATACTACTACCTGTAGACAGCTAAAATGGCAGGAAAAGATATTTCATCAAAGACTAACTTTTTGACTAGTTAAATGCATTTAAATTCTTGCAATTTGAGAAAATTATATATAATAATAGAATGGTGCCCGGCATTTTGAGGCATTCAAAGAAAAAAGATTGTTATATGAAGCGAAACAACGAAAGTACTAGGAAAGCAGATTCGATTGTACATTCTAACATATTATAATGAAAAAAATTCTCTTACAGAAAAGTAGACTCAATTTAAGGATAACATCAAGAGTAAGATAATGAATTTGGAAAATGGAGAATTAAACTTTTTTTAAATCAAAATTACCTGAATAAATAGATGATAGCCTTCAGTCTGGGCAGGATCAGCAGGGTTTGGCTGATCTAACAAGTCCTGGATACCAACCAGTATCTGTTTCACAGTGATGGCTGGTCTCCATCCCTAAACAAGAAAAGAAAATTAATAGCTGTCATACATCGAGCCCAGTCAGTAAGCAGAAGAATAGGACAAAAGAAACAGCATAGCCCACATACACTGTCTTCATTGAGGATCGACAAGCAAACTGTTCCAGACGGATAGACATTTGGATGGAAAAAACCTGGTGGGAATTTACACTTAGGTGGTTTGCTCGGATAATCTTCACTGAAGTGAACTGTAAGTGGATAATAACCACCTTCCCAATCAGTCTGCAATCATTAAAGTGTCATTAAGGACCAACGAAGAACAGAAGGATAAACATGTCCCTACATCAGTCAAGCATAGTACTTTCACCGAAAAAGGATAATGGTACATGTTTAATAAGCATTATATGCTTTGAAGATGCTCTGATCTGATGGAGGAAACAAAAAGCATAAGAGAATACACTCTGCAGCTTGCAATTCTAAGTGAACTAATTGGTCCATCTTAACATACACGTACTCCGGATTTCCTCCGCACTTCCCTAGAAATGACATCAAAGTCTGATGTAAATGATTCAGCTCTGTATACACTACATACTCCTACATGTAGCAATGACCTTTTACCAGTTAAGAGTTAATAATACGAAGCATACGACTTCAAACTTATGCCTACAACTCATAAACTTAAGGCTTGCTACTACAGTGTTCTACTTCAGATGGCCATACAAGGGTGGTTATGTTTTAAAAATGTCGTTTTCCATTTTTCTTAGGGAAAGGAAGGGACCAGGACTATTTCCATTACGCCAAGAGACATGAGATAAGAAGATTAAATACTGTCAAAGCGTTTCAGTCTTCTCTGTCTTTTTCTCCCTTTTCTTGACGTTTTACTGGGATTTTATCATCCAGCTTTACACTCATATTCATATAAAAATTCATGAGAACAGACACAATTTTCCAGTGAGGTATGTCTTTTGATGCCTTTCTTCAAACTTGTTATCTTAAATATAAAGGAATATCAAATTATTACCGTACATTGATAAAGTCATAGATATGAAGTCGATACAGTTATTTGTAAACAGGAGATAGAAAATCAGGTAGCACAACTAATTAAAGGAACACCAACAACTTAACCAAGGCCTAACCCTTATCCCTCTAGACAGTTTTGAAATGGATGCACCAATAACATCCATACATTATGCATAGCCAGAAACCAATGTTTGTTTGGTTAAATTGCAGAAGAAATAAGGAGCAAGCCTTTTAGACTATGGAAGGAAAGCCAGCTGAAGAAGTCAAGCCTGCAGAGATAGTATTTCTACCAAGAGAATAGGGAATTCTAAGACCATTAATGGAGTAGGTTGTTTTCTTTTTGTATGTTGTGGACAATGGTGAAGGCAGGATTTCCGCCAAGGGAGTTCAAAAAAGAAAAAGTTAAAAAATTAAAAGAGAATGTGGCCGTGGAAAATGAACCAGAGACCTCACAAAGGTTCTGAACCTCTTGACCACTGAGCTATGCTTTTGGGTTACGTTAGGGGGATTCAAAAGAGACACAAAACAGATTTTGCACAGATTTTGCCTATTTTCCGGCGAGGGGGCTTCACCCCCTCTGCTCCGCCCCTGGCTGTGGAGAGATATGGATACTGTTTCATACTCGCTGGAAGGAAAAATATGCAATAGCTATTCAACATTGATCTCTGTATAAAGTGTAATGTTTGCAGGTACAAAATGAAAAAAAGAAATGCTAACTGAACCAAGAGAAGAGCTTAATTTTCAGTTCAGGTCCATAAACCAAAGTGCTTCAATCAAACAACGAATCAACAAAAATAGACACATACCAAATTAACCCAATTGGCTCACTCATGGTTTCCCCTTACCCTCAGAAAGTTTAAAAAACGAGTCTTTTCCAATGAATGAGGAAAACAGAAAGAACGGAAGAATAAAGACGACATACCCCAGTTTTACCAGGAATGGTGCAGTGCCAAACCATCAGGTTCACTGACCCATCTGGAAGTGTCTCCGGCTTTGCAACAAATCCCTATTAACCAAAAGCATTAAAATAAACTTATAAATAAGAAACGAATTCACAAAGTTAAAAGAAGAAAACTGAAAAACAAGAAAAGGGTCGTCGAACTGAACATGGGGGTGATTCTTGCGCCAAGCTTTTCGCTCCTCTGCAAGACGACCTCGAGCAATACCTCCCGACATTCTTGTCTTTCTCCAAACAGCTGTTAAGGTAAATGAGTAATGAGCAGCGAGCAATGAGTTTTTCGTTGGCTGCCCCTTTTAAGTTAAAAAGAAAAGGAATGTATTGAAATTGGTAATGTTCAAGTGGCTGATTGGACGGTGGAGATCATATTAGGAAATGGTGATGGAATTTTAAAGATAATAAAACTGTTGTCTTTATTCTTTTGTTAGGTCGAGCCTTTTATTAAAATGGATTTAGAAGGGAAGTCAATGGATTCCGATTTTATTTGGAAAAAGAAAAAGATTCCGATTTTATATTCTAGCGTGAAAACCACGCCATTATGTGCGTTTCACGTGGAAAACGTCAGAAGTGCAGCTTTAGCTAAGTCGCCATTGCTTCTCGGCCAATGGCTGTTTGGGGACTTGGGGTGGAATTAACAGCTAACCGCTTTCACACATGCTGTTTAAAATTAATCACGATTTCCAATATATTTAAATATTAAACAATTTTTCTTAAATTTTAGGATACGATATCCTTGAGTTTAAATCTTAAAATTCAAACTTCAGCATCGTATCTTAAAGTTCGAATATTGTGTTCTAAAATTCGAATCTTATGTCCCGCATTTTAAATTAGTGGTTCAGAAATCAGGACTAAGAAATTAGCAGCTCAAAAACTCAGAACACTATGTCCTAATTTTTCAAACTCAGGATACAGGCAAACCTCTCTATAACAGTTTTGTTTGTTTCGAATATTTTTGGATATTATAGTGAAGTGCTGTTATATAGAACATATGTTGTAACATAACATGAAAATTGGTTCCGGAAAAGCTTGGGTTTTATAGCAAAATGTTGTTATGAAGGGATACTGTTATAGAGAGGTTTGACTGTACTTAGTCCTGAAGTTTGAGTGAATTGACTAATCTTTAAATACATTGTAAACTGTGAATATATTTTAAATAGCAGACTTAAAAATGGTTGTTGCTGCACTTCGCCCGGACTTGGTCCGTCTAAATTGACAACAATAATTGTTCAAATGGTAAGCACCCTCTACATCTAACTCTGAGGTCGCGAGTGGATCGCCAAAAGAGCTTAGTGGAAAGCTCCTGACGAGGGGTTAAAAAATTATTAAATTTTAGGAATAATACATAATTACCCCATTGGGGTTGTACCAAAGTTTCAGTTGCACCCTTTAAAAATACGGGTGTCCTATGACCCCTTGGTTTTATTTCAACCGTAATAAATACCACCTTTTGAGATAATCACCAGTTTCAAGAAAATCAGTGGATTACACGCACCAACCACTTGTGCCACGTCATTTCTTTTTCATTATTTTTATTATTATTTTAATTTTACCATGTGTGTCATTTCTTTTAAGTTCTGGTCCTTGCCAGCATTTGCAATATGGATCTTCTTCTCCGACGAGCTCAGCCTCGCCGGAGATTTCCACCGGCAGAACTCCATTAAACTTACCCGCTTCCCACGCCTTCTCTTCTTTCTAGAACAAACCCATCAGAGACTCATCTATCCATCCCCACTTCCCCGCACTCCTTCTCCTTCTACCAACAATCTATGGGGAAAAATTTTGTAAAAGTTTATGTAAGCTTTATAGATCTTAAGAAAGGGTTTGTAAACTCCAAGAAATCTGGTCACATTTAAAGAGGATGCCAAAAAATAGGGTTATATTTTTCGGTCACCGGACATCTCTTCCGATCGCCGAATAAATTTCCGGCCAGATTCCTTTCTCTTCCCACTCAATGTACTGTTTGGGCTCTATATTGGGGAATTTTCTTTGGTTTAAAATCTGATAGAGTTCTTTATTATTGTTTAACGTTTTAGAATTTTAATTTATGAGATTGAAGTGAGCTCTATCATATTAATCTCCATTGTTTCAGGTGAGGAGTAAGTGAAGAAGAAGAGAGAAGAAGGAAAAAGAAAAGGAAAACTTAGAAAAAAATATAATAAGAAAAGTAGGGGAATATATTTTTTTAAAAAAGGGCGAAATTAAATTTTTAACCTGTATTTTTTGTCTCCCACTCTCCTTAAGAGAGTGTATATCACTCTCTATGTCACATCATCTTAAAAGGTGAAACTTTTATATTTTGAATACATATAGAGGGGTCATAGGACACCCATGTTTTTAAGGGGTGCAACTAAAACTTTGGTACGACCCCAATGAGGTAATTATGTATTATCCCTTCTTTTTAATAATTTTTTGCCCCTCGTCAAGAGCTTTCCACTAAGCTCTTTTGGCGATCCGCTCGCGACCTCAAAGTTAGAAGTAGAGGGTGCTTACCATTTGATCAATCATTGTTGTCAATGATAAATCACCTAGGATGATCTCAATGTATCTTAAGCCAAGTAGCATATTGAGAAAAACTCACTTGACACTTTTAAGTTAAAATCTAAAATGATTTTAGACAAATCTAATCTATATACCTATATATCTATATTATATTAAAACGAGGTAGTGAATCGCGAAGCTAAGCAAAGTGGTGTATTGAGAAAAATTCACTTGGCACCTTAACATAAAATCTAAAAAGATTTTAGACAAATATAATCTATATATTTATATCTATATCAATATATAGATCAACTCATCGATTTTTCTTCTATATTAGCTAAGAACATGAAGATGAAAAATTAATTAAAAAGCTATAATATAGAAAACTGAAAAATGTAAAAAGATATAGATTGAGATAGCCTATATTTATACTTTCAAATAAGTGAAAATATAAAATAAAATAAATAAATTTACTTAAGATATTAAAGATTTAATGACTTTAAAATTAAAAAAAATCGAAGCAACAGAATAAAATCTTAAAAAAATATACAAATTATTTATAAAGTAACCAAAAGAATTAAAAGTAAATAAAATATATGATGGTAGGATATAATTGCGTATTTTGGATATTAATTGCACTTTAATTCGATGTACTTTACTAGTGTTTGAGCTTTAAATGGTATTATTTTGCACTGATTGTGTGTTTTATGCAATGTCGGAGCGATTCCGAGTTATGATGAGGTTGTGGAGCTAATTCGAGCTACTTTAGAGCTTTGAAGTTTGAGTAAAAGTTCAAAGATTAAGTTGGAATCGTGTTTGGGGATTAACAGACGAATAGTGCACTTAACGGGAGAGACAAGAGTTGAGCAGGAGGTTCACCCAGGTGTGTGACCGTGCATGAGACCACTCCAGTGCACAAGTTACGCAGTGCACTGCCAGAGGTGCACGACCATATGCGCGGTCACACACCCAGGTGCGCGGCCGTGCACGTCCGCTTCCAGAAATTTTTCTAGGCCTATTTTTGTAATTTTAAAGGCGACTTCTTTTGACCTATATGAAGCATAGCTTGTCTAAAAATAAGGTATCTTGGATTTTTGAGCAACTTTTGAGAGAGAAGAAGGCAAAGAAACACGGAGACTCAAAATACTTCATCCCATTCATTTAATACGGAAGTTTGCTTAATGTTGGGAATAGTAATGTCTTCTTGTTCTTCTAATACTCTTGTGATGAATAAGTTCTCCACTATGGAGTTATCCTTCTTAGGGTTATTAACGGATATAGTGATTTGACTATTGTTTTGGGTTTTACTTCCTGTTACTTGCCCAAATTCGTTGAATGGGTTATTAATTGAAGTGCAAGACCAATTGTGGTTCTACTTTAATTGAAAGAGAAGTGTAGCTGCAATTCGCATTATGTTATCTTGTTTCGGTTGATTTTACGCCTCTCTTAGGTAATCGAAAGAGCTCAGAGAGTTATCAATTGACCCAACTTAGAAGAATAGTTGAGAGACGTTCTTTGAAAGATCATTCATTAATTGTATTAGTGCATATGTTCATAAGACCTGTTATTAGGTTAGTTAACGAAACTCTTATTCATTCGAAAGAAGAATTTGAACCCGTAAGATAGCCTAATCATCTATTGAAATCAAGAGAGTCAATAGAAGTTAAGAGTGAACTTAACATGGAATTACCCAGAATAATAGTTGATCACATATGTTGTCACAACCCTTACTTATCCTCTTGATATTCATTCCTTGCTACTTAGCCACTAAAATCTAAATTGTCATTATTTTCTCACAATCGATAATCTTAGTTTTTATTATTAGTTGATAAGAACATTAATCAAAGGTTTATTTTCCTAGGGAGTGGTAAGATGAAGATTATTAGAACATTATTTAACACAATCCCTGTGGAGACAAATTAATACAATACTATCTTTGACTAGCGAGCATAAATTTTATACACTGGTTTTGCGCTCGTCAAATTTGGGCGTTGTTGTCGGGGATTGGCGATTACGAGTGTTTGAATTATTTTTCGGTGCTAATTCAGGAACAATTTTATTTTATTTTCCCTTTTTACGCTCTTCTTATGTGTGTGCAGACAACAGGTTAAGTTTAGCGGTGTATGACTCGATCCTTTTTCAAGGACTTGGTGCCATACGACCCATAGTTAGACAAACATCTGAGGCAATTGAGAAGAGAGAAAAGATCGAGTGGATTGTTGTTGGGTCAGACTTCAACTCAAATTATAATGGTGAACAACGAAGAGGATGTGAACCTAGCTACGAGAGAGGCGACTCAGCAACAGGAAACACGATTAGCAGCTGAAGCAGCCCGTAGAATTGCGGATGAAACGGTTGACGGAGATCGAAGGTTCAATCCGAATCGAAACATGATCGAAGATGAATTTGAAAATGCAGCTCCTAGACCTGGAGGTCGCTAGAAGATTATGCCAGACTGATGTACAACCAACAACAGTCTAGTGTGAGACCCCCACCCATTGATTCCAATAATTTTGAACTCAAATAGGGAGTCATCCAGACTATGCAGAACAATTGCGTATTCAGAAGGAAACCCAATGAAGATCCCAACAACCATCTGATGGACTTCGACGAAATTATGAACACATTCCGTTACTAAGGAGCATCACATGATGCCATCTACCTTAGAGCATTCCCGTTCTCACATAAGGATGATGCAAAGTGGTGGTTGAGAATTCTTCCCACAGAGTCAATCCGTACGTGGGAGGAGATGACTACCAAGTTCTTAGAAAAATATTTCTTTGCCGCGAAGATTGGACGGATGAGAAAAGAGATTCACAATTTCAGCCAAGGTGAAGGGGAGACAGT